CTTGCAAGAAAACAACCAAGCTCAGAGAACCTCAAGGACTCCACAATTCAACCCTGAGCTACACATATTCTTTTCTATCTGGCCCACCTGCCTCCTGATCTTCCCTGCATGTTCCCATCCCTCCTTCCCTGTTTCTCCTTGGCAGCCATTGCTACTACAGATCTTGACACATGTAATTGCCAAGAAAACCCCTTAGCATTGGCATCTTCCCATTCTCCCTCCTGCCCCCCCCCCAATCATTTCTGCCTGGATTAACCACATTCCATGCACATCCTTAGTGTACAGTGACCATTAACTATAACTTGTCATATACAGCACAATGCCACTCTCCAAATATGCTGTGTCATTTGAAAATGGTTTTTCAAATTGTTTTGGAGACCAGCCCTGTCACAAGATTTAATAAATCGCACAAGATAGTAAATCTCTTCCCTACAAAAGGGTGTACAGCAGTTTCTTTCAATATTCACCACTTGGATAATGTGCTGTTGATGGTGAAACCTTTAATAAAGGCTGCAGAATAGTTAGAGTGCACTTCCAGCACGATCTGTAGTAATGCAGAAGGGCCCCTACTCTTTATTTTTTGTTTTTAAATTATAGCTTTTGCCACCATAGCTTTTTCTTGAAAACTTTAAAAGATTTTAAAAAGAAAAGTAACAGGTGTGCTTTCCTCATCCCTTCCTTCCTTTGCTATATATTTTAAGCCTTTGCTAAAATATTCAACTTACCACTGAAAACACTGGAAACTTTCTTCCTCTGTCAATTATCTGAACTCAGCTGGTTGATAGCGCACAGTGCTATGATAGAAACCGGCTATTCCTTCAGTTTCTTGGTCCACAGAACCTCAGACCATACTTAAATCCTAAGCCAAGTTCTCAGAGTTACCTCTACATCAAATACATTCAAATAATCCATAGGATGAAGGTAATCATTTTTCCTCTGTCATTTTTAAAGTCATGTGTCATGGCTTAGATGAATAGGCCTCATTTTTACTGCAGTTATAGTTATCAGAACCTCTGTTTGTAGAGACAGTACTGGATTTAATCTGTGAAATAAAATGCCTTCTACAATGTCATGTGAGTGAATATTTTTTTAAATGTATTTTTAGGTATTTGACCTGACCAAAACAACTCCAGCAAAAGCACTCCAGCTTTGCACCTGGCTGCCTTGCAATTCTGCCAGAGTCCTCATCTGTGGTGGAGATGGCACGGTGGGCTGGGTCTTGGATGCAATTGACGACATGAAAATAAAGGTATGGTGTTTCAGAGTGTCTCCGTACCTCCTTTTCTTTTTTGTTATCCACAGATTGGCTTCTTTGCGTTGTATCTCTTCCAGTACAATATTGTCAGCAAACTACACAATAGCTTTACCATAAAATTCCAAAGTTTTTTTCCCCTGCATCACTTTTCAGTCATTTCTAGGTCTGCTTCCCCCCCCGCCCCCCAGCATTGGTTGTTGTTTTCAGTGAATATTAAAAGCAGGTAAACTTTTAATTGCAGAAAGTCATTCTGTCCAAGTTCATTAAAGTTTGTAGATATCTTTTTATATTTCCTTTTAAGACTTCTGTGATGTCTTAGGACAAATGAAACACGTAGCTTCTCTTTCCATTTCCTCTCTGTAAAATGGAGTGAGGCATCTGTGGTACTTCTAGATGTTGCAGAACCGCAGCTCTTGGCAGCCCTGTTGCTCTAGTTGCTTCCTGAATCACTGGAAGTATATCTCATAAGTTGTTATAATATGTTTTGAAACATGCTTTTTCTAAAGGATGTTGTGTCCCCTTTTCTGTGTCATACTTTTTCTTGAAAATTGTGGGCCAGAAAAATTTGCTTAATTTCTGAAAATTAAAAATGGGGCCTTGGCAAGGTTTTTTTTTTCCTCCAAGTGATATGTTCAAC